AGCGGAGCCGGACACCGCCTCTCGCACAGCACCGCCGGGGTGGGAAGGTCAGCGCACGGGAAGCAGAACGCGCTGCGAGCGCGGAGATAAACCCATGTATTAATAGATTAAAAACACATAAACGTGTGTATTTATGGCCCAGGCCACCCCTGGCAGGGACCGGGTCCCTCCGTGGCCACCCCCTGCGAGCCCGTTGTGTCTGGTGTCTGGGGAAAGAGGACAAGAGGAGGCGGCTGCGAGCTGTCAGCCCGCGGGTGGAAACCCACGGCTCAACCTCCGGCTCTCCCCGAGGACAAAGCATCCACCACCGCTTCACTTGCCTCTGATTTTCCAAGGAATTGGGGGTTTTGTCTATTTTGTGCATCTGAAGCGGTCCTAGATGAGGCTCATCCCTAAAAGCACGTAGAAGTCAGCAAAAAAGCAACAACAAAAGGAAGAGTCTGGTTTGTGACAGCCTATTTTGAAACAATTATATGTAGCTCCCCCACCTCCATCTTCCAAGGCACAGCACCAGTACATTGCCGCTCTTGCAAAGGGCATTTTTTGGTTTCCACTCTTCAGACTACCCCTTTTCCCACTTCCCACCCCTCAGTGCGTGGTGAACTACTCATGAGCTCCAACATTCAGCAACCACTGCTTTCACCACATAACACTTGAGTGATTTCCTTCTTCTCAGGGCTTTTATAGCCTATGGGACCTGCCTTGTGACGTTCTAGCCCATAACTGCTATGTCCACTTAGTGTACAGCTGGAATGAAAGCACATTCCAAAGAGTTTTTAATGCTCTGGTGTGTCTGAAAGTAAGTTTGCTTCACGTGCTTTTCCAAAACTATCTACCCCATAACCCAACAAGAGGGGCCCACCCTAGCCAGAATACTTCTGCCGAATGGCTGCAGGACCCACAGTGACATCCTACACTGCCACCAAGCAGCCACCCACATCAGAGCAGGCGCTCAACAGCAGCGTTAAATTAATCCATCGCTGCAGAAACACCCGGGGCAGGAGCTGTCAATGCCTGGGCAAAGCTGGATTATCAAAGCCTCCCAGCTATTGCAGTTTCACATTACATATGCATGCTTACACAACCCAACATCTGTGTAACATCTGCAGACTGGCACCGAACACCAGCGACTGCTTCAGCTAGTTGAGGACACTTATACAACCTCAGGACTGATAGCTGAAGGGTTAGTTACACTTGCCAGGCATGTGTAAGCCTTGCATAAGGCTGTTTTGCAATACCTGTTGTACAGAGAAGCTACATAACTTGGTTTCTTAAATGGCTAATTTCTTAATGACCTTATTTGTTCACATAACATATATGTTAACGTGACTTTTCCCACTGTAGGAGAGGATCAGGTTCAAGATCATCTTAAGAACCTGAATGTGCACAAGTCCATGGGACCTGATGAAATCCACCCGAAGGTCCTGAAGGAGCTGGCGAATGAAGTTGTTTGGCCACTGTCCATATTTGAAAAATCATGGCAGTCAGGTGAAGTTCCTGATGACTGGAAGAAGGGAAATATATAACCCCCATTTTCAAGAAGGGGAAAATGGGAGACCCAGGGAACTACAGACCAGTCAGTCTCACTGCTGTGCCTGGCAAAATCTTGGAGCAGATTCTCCTGGAAAGCATGCTGAGGCACATGAAAAACAACGTGGCTGGTAACAGCCGACACTAAGGGGAAATCCTGCCTGACCAATTTGGTGGCCTTCTATGATGGGGCTATGGAACTGATGGACAGGGGCAGAGCATCTGATGTTATCTACCTGGACTTGTGCAAAGCACTTGACGCTGTCCTGCACGACATCCTTCTAAGCTGGAGAGACATCAATTTGATGGATGGACCACTTGGTGGATAAAGAACTGGCTGGCTGGCCGGCTGGCCGCACGCAGAGTTGCTGGCCATGGCTCCATGTCCAACTAGAGTGGGGTAGCAAGTGGTGTGCCTCTGGGGTTGGTGTTAGGACTGATCTGGTTGAACATCTTTGTTACTGACATGGGCAGTGGGAGTGAGTGCGCCCTCAGCAAGTTTGCCGACACCAAACTGTGTGGCTCCGTTTAAACACTGAAGGAAGGGATGGGATCCAGAGGGACCAGGACACGCTTGTGAGGTGGGCCAACACCAACCTGGTAAGAGTTCAACCAAGCCAAATGCAAGGTCCTACACCTGGGTCAGGGCAACCCCAGGCACAGTTACAGGCTGAGCAGAGAAGACTTGGGGGTGCTGGTTGATGAGAAGCTTGACATGAGCCAGCTTCAGTGTGTGCTTGCAGCCCCGAAACCAACTGTATCCTGGGCTGCATAAGGAGCATGACCAGCAGGCTGAAGGAGGTGATCCTGCCCCTCTACAAAAACCCCACATAGAGCACTGTGTACAGCTCTGGTGTTCTCAACATAAGGCCTGTGAAAGAAATGGATGCAGAGACACCTCAAAGCAGCCTTCCAGTACCTGAGAAGCCTACAAGGCAACTGGAAAGGGACTCTTTTATCAGGCACTGGAGCGAGAGGACAAGAGGTAACGGGTTTAAACTTAAACAGGGGAAGTTCAGGATAGATTTAAGGAAGTTCTTTACTGTGAGGGTGGAGAGGCCATGAAACAGGCTGCCTAAAGAATTGGTAAATACCCCATCCCTCGCAGTGTTCAAGGCCAGCTTGGACAGAACCTTGGGCAACATGGTCTACTGTGAGGTATCCCTGCTCATGGCAGTGGGGTTGGAACTGGATTATCTTAAGGCCCTTTCCAACCCAAACCATTCTATGATTCTAACTTGAGACACAAGCTTTTGTGGATGCAACAGCTTTATTGGAATGAACAAGTGCAGAGGAGCTTTTACTTAAAAGCAAGGAACAATAAGGAGGTTCAGTTGCCACCTCTCAGGCGCAGCACAAGATGGAGGGTGGACTCCTTCTGGATGTTGTAGTCAGACAGGGTGCGCCCATCTTCCAGTTGCTTGCCAGCAAAAATCAGCCTCTGCTGGTCTGGTGGAATGCCCTCCTTATCCTGAATCTTGGCCTTCACATTCTCAATGGTATCACTGGGTTCAACTTCCAGGGTGATGGTCTTGCCAGTCAGGGTCTTCACAAAGATCTGCATACCACCCCTGAGGCGCAAGACCAAGTGCAGAGTGGATTCCTTCTGGATGTTGTAGTCAGACAGGGTGCGCCCATCTTCCAGCTGCTTGCCAGCAAATATCAGCCTCTGCTGGTCAGGGGGGATGCCTTCCTTGTCCTGGATCTTGGCCTTCACATTCTCAATAGTATCACTCGGCTCGACCTCAAGGGTGATGGTCTTGCCAGTGAGGGTCTTCACGAAGATCTGCATACCACCTCTCAGGCGCAGCACAAGATGGAGAGTGGATTCCTTCTGGATATTGTAGTCAGACAGGGTGCGCCCATCTTCCAGTTGCTTACCAGCAAAGATCAACCTCTGCTGGTCAGGGGGGATGCCTTCCTTGTCCTGGATCTTGGCCTTCACATTCTCAATGTTATCACTGGGTTCAACTTCCAGGGTGATGGTCTTGCCAGTCAGGGTCTTCACGAAGATCTGCATACCACCCCTGAGGCGCAGCACCAAGTGCAGAGTGGATTCCTTCTGGATGTTGTAATCAGACAGGGTGCGCCCATCTTCCAGCTGCTTGCCAGCAAAGATCAGCCTCTGCTGGTCAGGGGGGATGCCCTCCTTGTCCTGGATCTTGGCCTTCACATTCTCAATGGTGTCGCTGGGCTCCACCTCCAGGGTGATGGTCTTGCCAGTGAGGGTCTTCACGAAGATCTGCATGTTTATCTGCAAGAAGAACGGCTGCACCTCAGTTTCTGGTCCCCATCCTGCCCCAGGCCGCTGCGCGGCTCCCGAGGCACACCCCTCCGCGACGGCACGCCCTGCGTGCACACGCCACCGCCCCACGTCCTGTGACGTCAGAGCGGAGAACCGCCCACACCCCCGTTCCCCTTCCCGCCCAGGGCGCC